TCCTTTTAAGGTGAGAAGACGGCTATATGCTTTATAACTTTTGCATAAGACATGAGATTACCTAAAGTAATCAAGAATATGTTTTATGGAATGATTAAAGATAATCAAGTATTTGCTTATGCCATGATTTCATACAAAACTTAGTTGTAAAGCATGTTATGTATGTTCGATGATTAAAATGTGATAACTTATTATGTACAACGTTTTAGGGATCCAAAATGGTATTTTTGAATCAAGGATGATAAGAAGTACATGTGTATAAAATTTCACGTTAATCGGACTTCGTTTGGGCGGTCAAACGGGCGTTGACCGCCGAGACAAAGGTAATACCCGACCGGGTATGGGCAATACCCGACCGGGTATTGATTAAAAATGGCTCCAGAAGCCACTGCCACACAAGACCCGCCCGGGTCTAGGTATAGACCCAACCGGGTCTCAAGAAAAATTGGCATCCAGGGGCCACTGCCCGCCCTACCCGACCGGGTAAGGTTTGATACCCGACCGGGTCTTGGGTTATACTCAAAACGGGTAGTTTTTGAGTAGGATAACGTGGACCGATCAGGTGGGACCCGTCCACGTTGGTTACTAAGGATTGTTACATGACTATAGGACTAGGTATTGTCCATAGTTAAGTGAACGAAAGGTTAGCCATATCCAGGTTAGGGTTGGTAAGAAATAAGGTTGAGGTTGAGTACCCTCGGGACGGTTAACGATCCCAAAACTCGGTGAGGTTGAGTACCCTCGGGACGGTAAACAATCCCAGAAACTCGGTGAGGTTGAGTATCCTCGGGACGGTAAACAATCCCAGAAACTTGGTGAGGTTGAGTATCCTCGGGACGGTAAACAATCCCAAGAACTCGGTGAGGTTGAGTATCCTCGGGACGGTAAACAATCCCAAGAACTCGGTGAGGTTGAGTATCCTCAGGACGGTAAACAATCCTAAAACTCGGTGGGGTTGAGCATCCCCGGGACGGTAAACACTCCCGAAACTCGGTAGGATATTATGAAGGTAGAATGTAGCTCGTGAGCTAGGCATTCAGGATGAAAGGGGAAAGGTTGGGTAAGTACCTTATCTCTAAAAGACTTTTTGTGAGGAAACGACCTATGGGTCAAGTATTTTACAAGTATATACAGTATGTATTATCTTGGGAATGGGGTAACAATGGTTACACCTATATATATATATATATATATATATATATATATATATATATATATATATATATATGTATGTATGTATGTATGTATGTATGTATGTATGTATGTATGTATGTATGTATGTATGTATGTATGTATGTATGTATGTATGTATGTATGTATCATCCTATTTTTGGGTCTCGTGTCTGAAACATTAGTTATTCCTCATATAGCCTGCTTGTCACTAGTACTTCTATGGAGTACTGACCCCTTCGGGGGCCCTCACATTTTTCAGGTTGAGGCTAGAGTCCTACTACCTGCACCTTCGCCAAGGGTGATTGATCAAGGAGGAAGACGTGGTTCGTGCTTCCATTCTTATTCAAAATTTATAAACTGCTCATGGATGTTTTTAACAATGTTTTCCATTAAAACATTTAGGGGGCCTGCGTGTCCGTATTTGCCACGTGTGGCTAAGTATCAAACATATCTTATTTTCCGCAATTGTTGACTAATATATATTGATGTTGATTGTATGGGTTTACTAACCGGTTTGGCAATAGAACTCAACGGACGCCTTGTATGATTCAATAAGAATGAACTACATTATTCTTATTGGGTTGTACGGCGGTTGTCTACGTGGCACGGATGCGGTCCGGGGCGTGACACCTTAGGGAGTAACCTATTCCGTTTATTCACAAAAAGAACCACAAAATAAAGAAAGAAAAAAAGAAAATAAGGAAAGAAATGTGATAGCTCACCGATAAAGTGTTAATGATATTTTGAGAGAAGGGAAAGTTAGAGTAGAGAGAAAAAGATATTTGACTACAAGTAAAGAAACAATTATAATAAAAATATGTAAAATAATAAAAAATTATGACTAAAATAAATTTATAAAAATGTGACTTTTTGATTGACTATAATAGCAGTTATTTCAGTCATAATAGTTTATGTTCAAATGTTAACACTTAAGGAAGCATGACATTATACTATAATAGATTAATAGGTGTATATGAAAAAAGTTATGCCTTTGGCTTTGATAAGAATTTTGAGTAATCTATTTCATCAAATATTAACCAAATCATCGAGAATAATAATTATTACACTACATATTATTGTCATTAATTACAAAATCAGCACATATCATATAATTAAAATTTATGCCTTTGATAAGAATTTTGAGTAGAGCATTCATAAGTCATAACCCAAATTGCATTTAATTTGTTGCTGGGTACGTACGTGGTTCGAGTTTTGTGGATAGCTCAAGAACGAATTTATTAGAAGATGACTTGTGATTGAGATAAAAAATGTTCAACATTGGAATCTTAAAAGACACCTCCAAAATTGGACATAATTTATTGTTAATCAACTACACTTTCTAGACACCTCCATTTCATCACATCAGATTAAAGGAAGGTAAAAGGTCAAAAAATTAAACAGCCTCCGTTAGTCCGTTCAAAAACAAAAACTCTATTGTTACACATTTTCTTTACACACACATACACACTATAAATACCCTTTAAAAAAAATTACCCCCTTTCCTCCACCCTGCCTTTGGCGTGCATACCCTTCAAAAAGACTCCCGCTCCCCACTTTGCGCATCCCCTTCTCCATCCATATCCCTTCCCTTCATCGACCTTAGAACTGTACCGTCACCACCAAAACCCCTCACATATTCTTCTCTACAAGCGTCGTCCCTGCAACCGTGTTGATATCCGCAAGAGCTGTCCCCGCCAACCGCGATGTTCTCTGCAATTGCCGTCCCCTTCAACCGGCTTATTGTCTGCAAGCAGCGCCCCCTGCCATCCATCTTGTTCTCTATAGCGCCAACCGCCCTCTCTGCAACCCTCGCCCTCGCCAAACGTCTGTGCAACCGGGTCTGCTTCATCGACCCCCCCCCCCACACCGTAACGTCAATTGACAAAGAAGGAACATGGTGCGAAAGGTATAGTCCTCTATCCTTGAAATTTTTACATTTTAGATATATTTAGATATAGTTGATGATGTTTATTTGGAGGGTGAAGCAAGTTATTTTCGTTTATCAAGTTTCGGAACCCATCTAGTGCTTGGATTCGAGCAATATACATTTGTTTGTGGATATGTCATTTGGGGATATGTATTGTCTGCGCAAGGTTGATTTTATGCCTGTTGAAGGACATATGTATTGTCTGTGTGAACTTATATGTAATTGTTCATTTGGTTGTGACTCCATTTGTCTGTGAAGATAGACTTATATGATTGTTTATATGAGTTTTCATATGTCTATGTCACTAATATGATTGTTTGTGTGTACCAGCCAACGTTAATCAGAATAATGATTTCAGCTGGATATTATCTAAACAAAATGGTATACACTAACAACATGATCTGCACTTTCATACGAATAGAAATAATATAATAGCCTTAGTCAGTAACCTAGCACCTCCATATTCTTTTCAAAGGAACTACACATCATTCCTAATTATTGAAAATGTCATCCTTACTCCCAACATGTCACATACGAAGTATATGTCTAAGCATTGGAAGTAAAAATGCTCAATATCCTCTCACTGAACAAGTCAAAATGTTTCTTAAAGTATGATTTATGAAGTTAAACATAAGTTTTTCTACATGTCTGTGTGACTGATTGTGTGTCTGTCTGTATATAAATGAATGCTTGTTTGTGAGTTTGTCTGTGCATGTAAATGTAATGTCTATATAATTTTTTTTTTGTCCAGATCTGGTGTTTGCGGCGTGATGGTTATGGCCTTTGCGGAGTCACTGTTGCGGAAGTTGCCATTGAAGCCCGACTGTGCATATGGTAATATGGCGGCAAAAAGATGTGAATTTGCAACAAGGCTCTGGACTTTGAGGAAGCAATCAATGTAGTACAGTTTGGGTCTCCATGTTTAATGTAGGATGAGTTTGGATGTAAAACATTGTTGCCACCTTGCTATTTGTGGTGATAATTTTTGGCCTGCGTTTTTGTTTTTGTTTTTGTGGTAAACTCTTACTGTTGTGCATCTGTGAAGAAGAAAAACTTTGTTTGTGCTTTAATACGACTTTGTCTGTGATATGTGTTGTAGTTGTCTGTGCTATGTGTCCGCTCTTGCATCCACTTAATGTAGTTTAATAACTGAAACTTTACTACTTTCATTAACACTGGAGCCGATGTGTCATTTTGAGGTGAGCAATCTTTATTACTTTTATTTTATAAAGTTTACTATTTTAAACTTTACTACTTTCATTAAATAACTGATTGTTTAATAACATACATTATGAAAAAGAAATGCATTTTACAAAATCAGAGACAACACTTTTATATCTTCCCACAAAACACTTTTTGTGTCTGTGAAGAACAAACACTTTGTTTGTGTCGTAATACATAAATGTCTGTGAGGTAACACATAAAATGTTAAATATAGACATTTTCAAAAATAAATACATTTCAGAAAATGTGAGGCAACACATTAAAATCTGTCCAGAAACAGATTTTGTGTCTGTGAAGACCAAAGAGTTTGTCTGTGCTTTGTGTCGTAGTTGTCTGTGTTATGTATGCGCTCTTACATCCACATACGATATTTTTAATAACTGTTTTATGTAATTTAATAAGTAAAACATTTATTACTTTGATTACCACTATAGCCCATGTCTAAACTTGACTTTGATTACATTCATTACATTTATTACAGATTATTAGTTTAATTTTAAGAACTTGACTTGTTTATTTAAATAACTAGTAGTTTAAAAACTACTAGTATATGTAATCCATTGCCTAGTTGTTTATGCATAAATAATAAATGAACACACAGACAATGTTTGCTTTAACCACACAGACAATATAATTGAAGACATACAGATATTTCGACTACACAAACAAAATAAACGAGCACACAGACAACAGTTTTTGTATACACACAAAATAAATAAATAAACACACAGACAATGCTTCAATCACACCCGTTCATTCACAACAATGACATAAAATGTCTGATCTCCTCCACTAATAACACTTATATAACACAGAATTCTTTTATCTCTAAGGAATCTCGTACAATGATTATACATAGCTACCACTACTACAAATCACACATTTCCAAAGCTAAACATGCACCACCATTTAAATTAGAAAATTATATTAATGTGTTGACTGATTTTGGTCTTTCATCATTGTGTCTTCTTTTTGGAGTTTCCGGTCTTGAACTAATTAACAAACAAATATAGTAAAAGCCTTCATTAGCATGTCTGCCTTTTGGAGCTCTAATCGACTCCCAAATCTGTAGTATATATCAAATATTTATATCAGTACATATATACCATACAAGCATCTCAAAGCTCCTATTTATAAAAAAACATATGAAATTCATTGGAAAGTTAAATTGTGAAGCTTATGGAATTTGCATTGAACCTTATTGGATTTGGAGAAAATGAATGGGAATCGTTCATGTGTTCGTTTATTAAAATCATGTATAGGAATCAATAAAATCGTTGAAACATTTCAACAAACACCTTTTGAGCATAAATGTGATATTTAATAGTTGAACAAAAACTTGAATACTAACAGACATAAATATATATACACAGACAGAAGTATATTTACACATAGACATTTCAAATAGAAGTTTATTTCCACACAGACATCAGTAAATTTAGAACATTTAAACACAGACACAATTATATACACTTCACAAACACACAGAAGATATTATACACTACACAAATACAGAGAATTGTCTGTGAAGAACAAACATGTATTTATGTTAAAACTTAAAAGCCAATGAAATCAAATACATAAACGATCAAGCATCAACACAAATTCATACCAAGCTCAGGGACGTCGTCCATGGCCTCTGCCACCGGTTCTCCGTCAACTTCAGCCGCCACCGCCGGGTCTCTGTCAACTTCAGCCGCCACCGGAATCTCTCCTTCAGGTCGAGAAGCACCAGTTTGAACCCATTTAGCCCAAAACTCATCTGATGTAGTATCAATGATTATTTTGTTCACAAAGCCACCAAAAATGATTGATTTTGAAGAGAGGAGATGTATAGGTCGAGCTGCTGTGGGAAGAAAGAAACGATGAAGGGGGAAGAGAGGAGAGAGGCTGGGGGTTGCAATCTCACGTGAGGGAGGGTAAAAAAATGGTAATATTTTGGGCTTTTATAGTGTGTATGTGTATGTATGAATGTGTGTACCCCAAGCCCAATTGTAGTCCGTTAGGCGGGAGTGCGGGACATATATAAACAGCCTCCTGGGAATAATTTTCAAATTACTGCGCAGCCGTGAAGCACGGAAACTCTTCACGGCTCACGTTTTCACGTTTCGGAAACTCAAAAGCGTTTCGGAAACTCGGAAACTTCAAATTCCCATTTCGGGGCCGTTTCCATAATTAAGAAAAATTTGGAAACCCGTTTCACTACGTTTCGGTAACCTCGGATTCCAATTTTTTTCCTTTTATAAAGATTCTGTGGTGGAAAATAATTTCTTTAATAGTGATTTTTTGTGGTATTTCTCAGCAACAACACTTGTTACATTTCGTAACACAATGTATTGCTGAAAATGTATTATTCCGTACATTTTATGTTTAATTATGTACTAATATGAAATAATATCTAAATTCGAACATGTAGAGTGATTTTATTATTTGGTTACTAAACAAATTATATGAAAAACATGTGCATATGGAAAAACTTGTGTACATATATTAAAAAGTATTTATAAATATATCCTTATATTTTACAATATTTACGCATTTCCCCCACATTTCGTATCCTATATTTTTTTGAAATTACGTTTCTCGCGTTTCCCGTTTCCCGTTTCACGTTTCCCGTTTCGCGTTTCCGTGCAATTTAGCTGCGCAGTATTTGCTACCCTTTGGCAGTATACCTTAAACTTCAATATAATCCCTGAAATGGCCTTTTTCGCTGAGTACCAATCTGCTCTGGCCCCAACTGGCACACTGTTCAACAGTGTCGTCGACCACTGCGCCGCCCGTGGCGATGTTCTCGGTGCTGAGCGAGTTCATTCAGTCGCCGGAATCGTTAATCAAGGATTATGGAAGTTGATGTGGAATTGCGGATGGTACTGTTTCACAAACTTCTATGTAGAATCATTTGATGCGCTTGGCCCCATCTCCGATTTCAACGCGCTGGTCGGAGCTATGGTGGAGCTGACTCGGGTCGGGTCAGATGTGGATAAGTTGGCGCTAGAGAATCGGAATTATGGAAATGTCATTGAAATTGTTAATACCATATCTTGTAGACCGCAAAAGGCCTTTCGTCGACCTGTAAGCATTTCTATCGTTGATTTTTTTTTCTTACATTTTGCTTCCACTGATGTAAAAAGTAATTTACTGTTCGAAAACCGTGGAAATTCAGGGTCCTTTGACGGAACTAATCGAGTCCGTCCGGAAAGAGGTTGTGGAGGGACGCTTCTTGAACGATTGCATGGAGACTGGAGGCAGCGAATTGAAGGGCTTGGTCCAAGTTATGAAGGATATTGCTTTGCAGTTTGCTAATTCCACTCCGTCCAATTTGTGATTCCGATGTTTATTGCAATACTAGTTTTATGATGCACGTTGCCCAAAGGAGATAATGCCCAATATTATTATCAAGGGTGAAAATTATGTGAATAGATATAATTACATATAAAAACATTCAAACAAAGATATATCAAATTAAGAACATGTAAAGCTCTAAAAAGGAGTGAGTTGGAGAATGGGCATGTAAACAATATGAAATTGTTGAATATCTTCTTCCTCTTTTCCGATTTCACCCTTCAATATTTTTATACCTTATATTATTATAGATACAAAAAGAGTGTACAATTGTTGATGCTACTTTTGCCATAAGCCCAGTCGGAAAGCCTGGGAAGTCATTCCTACTTTCCCAACAACCATACCAAATTAAGCTAACCTGGGCCGAAGACACCCACACATTATGAGAGCAAGTGGAACGAATGACATGAGAAATGTCATAATAGATTTTTGGCGCCTTATTGAAAAAATTGTCCCATCAACAATAAGTAGAATTATGGAGAGAAAAAAGATGATCAGAATAAGCGAGGTACCAACATATAGCGAGTCTGGAACACCAATTAATTGATACATGCATACAACTATTCAACAAACAAAACATAGCTCAGAGAACATTAAACCATCACACTAACTTGAGTCAAACATTAACCACTTTGGTGGCCACTAGAATTATAGCTGATGTACATACTACATGTTATGTATTTAACTAAGCAGCAACTATTGCTTATAAAAACATTCACTTAGCTTCCAAAGAGTCAAACCAGGCCAGTGATTAATGCATACTTGTTTGTGCTTATTTGGTTCACACACATACACAAATGATGAAATTTTCTATATAGACATACATCTCATATTTGTTTATTTCTTTCAAGACCGAGCTTTACTTTAAAATCTCAAATCTTATCCAATTATACTTTCGCATGCCCACCAATAAAGAAACCTCAATGCCTACCACCATCGGGATTTGCCTCCACCACCGGTGTCCACATGACAGCACTGGTTGGTCAGATCGTTTAGGGCGAATAGCAATAACCTGAACATTAGGTGAAGAATTAAATCATAAAATTCAAATAAACTAAATGTACAAACGAGAGGAGGATAATCAAATATTTAAGACGAATTTGGAGAAGCAGACTTTAGTAAGAGAAAACTTAAACCACAGTGTAAAACCAAAAGTCAGAAGTTAGATAAGAAAGTGTAAAACCTACATGGTTAACAGAAAGAAAATGTTAACATAGAAGGGCATTAGCAAAGGTATATAGCTCAAACCATAGTGTACAAAACACATACTTCGTATTACTATTCTGCACACCAGGGTGATGTGTCATTGTGGCAAATTCACAAACACTCAGTGGCACACATGAAGAAAAGATGACTAAAAAGGAACAAAACTTATTTGTGTAAATGTTTTCTCTCTAACTTTGGCAATCAACAGATTCATGAACTAAACACCTAAACCGGAACTAAAAAACACATAATTAAACCAAAATTTAAGAAGACGTAAACAGTTTGACAAATCCAAGAATATCATGCTACGGAGCTTGGAACTTCGTCGATTTCTTAACCCTGCGCTTGTACTTCGGGTGGGGCGCAAGGCGGACAACCTCGATAGTGATGGCCTTGTCGTTGGCGGTGCAAAAAACACGGCCTTGCATAGATCTCATGTGATAATCCATGAAAAATGGAGAAGACTAAGAAGGGGCGATGTCGGCGGATGTGTGAGGACGAATTGGCTCCCGAGCGGCTAATCCCCTGAAGATGTGAAACTCGTATATGCTCGGTTGTAATGGGTGGGTTCCTAAGGTTATACTAACGGGAAGATAAACGGCGTTGAGTAACGCGCGTGTATAAAGGAAGAATGAGGTACAAGGAATTAAACATTTAGTACATATCAATTCAGCATATAAGTACCACCAACAAATTTTTATTACCTAAAATAGGTTTACCCTCATTCATCTTTAAAGATTTGTAAAGATATGCATGATTAGGGGTAACATATACGATGGTACTAAGTATCAACGTTGAATTTGTGATCTAGCTAGTTTAGTCTCAATTGATTTGATAGATGTTTGGTCTTTTTTAAAACTGTTAAGTTTTAGTCTGGTCTAAATTGGTCAGGTAGATGTCTATTCTATATGTATTTTATAATTACCAAAGTTTGATCTTTTCTAGTTTAATTCAGTTCTAGTTTGGTCTAGTCTAAAACATAAACTATTCTAAACAAAATCAAAATCATAGAATCAAAATTAAACACAATCAATAATGTTAGCATGTACCTGGAATAAATATTATTATAGATGAAAAGGCACAAGCGGATGAACCAAACACACCCTCTTTGAGGGGTAGAAAAAGAGGGTCTATATGAAATTTTTTCTTCTACGCGTTATTAAAATTATGTTTTAATAATTACATAACCAACAAATTTTAGGCCAAATTATCAAATTTATTTAATAATGGGTTATTTACCAAATTGGTAAAAAAAAGTCAAGAGACAAATTGGTAAAAAAACAAAACTCGGCAGATAAATTGATCAAATTTTTGCGTGACAAATTTATAGGCCACGATTTTAAAATTCTCTACCTTTAGCCCCACAAATATTGTCAAATTGACATTTCCAATTCTTCTATTGTGATTTTATCATGAAAAGTGAATGCCCAAAAACGTCAACGGTAGGGGTGGGCAAAAATCCCGGTCCCGGTGTCCCAAACCGAAAAATCCCGAAACTGTTCCGAAACTATCTCCATCCATTTGGGATGCAATTTTTTCATCCCGAACCGGTCCCATACAGATATTAACCGGGACGGAACCTGGATAGCTATAGAATATCATGCATGTCCCGTCCCGGTGTCCCGTTTGAAAATAGTAGGTTATTTCAAATTTCTAATGATATGTAATAGTCAAACCCAATTAAAACTTTCTACCCCTTAGTCTCCCTAGTGTCATGTTATCTTATTTCATGTCTCAATTTGTCTCGTTTCTTTTGTTTCTTTTGATTAAAATTTCTCTAGTTCTCATTCCGATACTACTCCGTAATATATTATTACGTGTGGAATATTATTTATGATGGAATAACTACTAATCCAAAATATAGTGTTGTTATAGATTTAATATTTTCCAAAATAACTAGTAGAAAATATATATATAGTCCTTATAGATATGATTTTTAATGTGATATTGAAAAGTTACAAGTGTACTACAAAGTATAAAATATTTTGTGCTACTATTCTACAAGGAAATATAAGATTAGGGGAACCAAAAAAAGTTATAAGACAATAATTAAATATAGTTAATTAGAGGTTGTACTTAACTTTTTCGAGAAGCTAAATTTTCAAAAATAGTTACATCTTTACTTTGATGTTATGCATATTTGTATATCACCTTTCACAAATGTATATTTTATGGGACGTCCCGAACCGTCCCGGTTTTTCTCGGGTTGTCCCGATCCCGTTTTAAATGTGACAACATTGGGGTAATGACTTATCCCGAACCGTATTGGACCGTTATTATAATACCGGGTCGGGATCGGGATAAGTCAAGTCCCGAACCGTCCTGTCCCGCGCCCACCCCTAGTCAAAGGTGAAGCTTTCTCCAAATCTTTTAAGGTATTCGGATCATAAGGAGTTTTTGCATCGAAGGCTGAATTGAAACTGCAGCCATCCTACTAAAAGGCGTTGTTACACCTCCACTTTCAACTACAATATGATCAAGCATTCCATTGATGCTCGTCCAGTCTCGCCGTGATGAAGAACTCAATATTATAAAAAAGATTCATGGGAGGTGCTTGCTAGCAATGAATCCTCCCTTTTTATTAAAAAAACTCCTGCTGTTGTTTTGAATGTGCTTTCTAGATGTTTATGTGTGCTATTTGGGATGTCATCGGTTCAAATTAAAGATTAAAGGAAATGCCCTAATTGTAATTTTAGGTTAAAGATGGGTATTATATGTAATTGATAAAGATTGAATATAAACGGCAAAACTAACAGAAAGTAGAAAAGGACTTGATTAAAATGCATTATTAAATAGAATAAGGACTAAAATGATAGATTTATTAGTTGAAGGACCAAAACGATATGGTGATGATAGTTTAAGGACCATTTATGCATTTTACTCTAATTATATTCTCTAAATATTCCTGCAAGCCCGCTAGGCTTGTGAGTTGTGACCATAATCATTCATGTACATTTTCTTTTTGTTTTTGACTAAAAGAACAAAATTGATGATGCTGGAAACTTTAAGTGCTTCATCCGTTCTTTTTTAATTGCAACGGTCCACTTTTCACGCTTGCTAATGCACAAGGTTGACCAACAATATCTTTCATTCTTTATTAGTAAAAAAAATTAAAAAATTCAGATTTTGAAATTTTAAAATGAAAGGAATTTAAAAAAAAACTTTTTAATTTATAATATATCATTAAATAAAATATAGTCAAAGTAAAAGATTTAAATAGTGTAAAAAGTTCAATATTGCAATTAAACTTTTTCTCATCAAGTAAACTTTCAATACTATTACATTTCCCATCATAATTGATGATGCTGGAAACTCTCGCACAAGTATAAATTAAATCTTAAGAACATTGTTAAGCTCACCTCTAAAATCTAATGGTCTAACCCCTACCTCTCATAAAGGTTCAACATGAACTTCTTGTTTGCTGCAATCTATCTAAATCCGTTGATATAGCAAAGATTTTATCTCGAAAAATTACAACCACCCTAAACAAAAGTTACAAAACCATTTCAAAAATATCAAATGAAAAATCTCAAAATATGATTAAAACATTTGGGAATTTCTAAATAAAACTGTCATGTTTTTATTTCCTTAATATGAGTATTATTGTCTTGTTTAGAAAATAGTGCCATATTTAAAATTTGATACTACCAAAACATCTCAATACTTACTCCTATTTTCAGAATTGAAAACATAACATTCATATTTTGGACGAAATTCTAAAATATTTTTATTTCTATCTAGTCTAATTTCCCTAATATCTATTGATACTTAATTACGTTGTATATAGAAACTCCCAAGAAGCATCATATCCCAATCCATAGCTTACTATCTCCATTCAATAAACAAAAATACTATTTGTACACCCTTTTTTGGTGTACTCACTTTTACACACTTTTACACATGTCTGTATAGACTTTTTTGTCTGTACACACTTTTACACATATCTGTATGTATAAACTTTTTTGTCTGTACAGACAAAATACGTTTTGTCTGTACAGACAAAAACGTCTATACAGACGTGTAAAAGTGTGTACACCAAAAAGTGCGTACCCTTGATTCAACTCTTCAATAAATTAAAGTTCTGAGTAAATCAACTTTCTACTCTGAGCATGTGACTTTTAATTTAAAATGATTCATTACTAACCTAGTATAACTACTATTCAACTCTGGACATCCGAAATTCTTGGATCCACCCTTGATTCAGTTCTTAACTGATTAGCAATTTTATGAAATCCAAATTCATTGTTTCTACATCGATCGACTTACGTGCTTTCAAATTTATGTATGATTATTCTTAAATTTAATTTATTCTTAAATAAAGTAAATTTAGTATGTAACTACAAATACAGACAATACAACTACTTTCGGTAGTTATGAAAAAAATTTGAATCCACAATTTTGATATGGAAGGAATTGATATTGAATGAAAAAAATGGAAATTGAATGGATAGGTGACGCACAAATCTTAAAAGCTTATAATCTTCAATGAGAGTTAGGGCATTTTAGGGCTGAAAATTGTGTTGGTGTAATCCTTTGCTTTATGAGGTGGTACATTGTGTTTTGAGTTGTGTACTCTTGTATAGGAATTTACTTACCGTTTAATTTCCGTTAATAACTCTGTCTATTGCCGCTACTCTTATTGACCTCCGCTTCTTTCCTGTTCTCAGAGTCTCAACGGCTTCCAAGTTCTAACCTTGGTTTCCTGCAGCAGGTCTCCCGTCTCATCCTCGCCCATCCATTCCATCTTGTTGCGTCAACCGTCCAGGTATCATTCCATTCCTTTTTTTCGCTCAGCTCTAGTCATCTTCTTCGGTCTCACTGTTTTTCTTCCCCTGTCTTTCCTGTTCTTGAATTCCTTTTTATTTACTCACACTATGATTCATATGCTTACTGGATGTAGTTTCAAAGCTTATTCCTTTTCAGTGTGATTTTTCTTTTCAATGTGTTTAATTACATAAAAAGGGCCCAACTCCCTTGCCTCTGTTTTTCTTTGAGTTTAAAGTGTGCTAAGCTAAGCCTGCATTTGTAGCCATTCAATTGTTATCTTTTTATGTTCTATTGCTTCGTTTTTTCTATCTTTTGAAAAACACTATGTTCTTAAACAGTGTCTTAACAAATGAAATTAGGTTAGTTTTAAATATAGATGTTGAAATGGTTGTAAAATTATGAATCACACAAAGTGTTTGTGAATTTGTCTAACTGAGAGTCTGTGTTTTCTCATTATCCATAACATGTTTATTGATTATATGAAGTATATTTTTTTTTCCATTTTAAAGAATACACTTGAAAAGTTAAAATCTAATCAAGAATCTGTAGACTAGAGAGTACACTAAACAAAATTTAAAGATAGTTTTGTATCTTTCGATCGATAGTAGGGCGAGTTTAGCAATACAATCTGAAAACATAGGGTTTTATCTTTAACTTGAAATGGGATGTGCAGTTTAACTAATTGGATTTAAGAGAAAATTTTAAGAAGTAAGTTCACAAAGATTGTCCCTGAAGAACATAGACTGTTTTTTTGAAATTAATTAAAAGCATTTTACGAACATAGATTGTTAAAAGCCAAAAATATTGCATTCTACTTATCAACCATTTTTAACTCGGAGCATATAAAGTATATTTTCCTTAGTTGTATGCTAATATTTTACTTCCTGTTTGTCCAAGCATGCAAGCAAGTCTTATCCAAGTTGATGAGGTCTTTGTATGTTAAATTTTGTATAAAGGCCTCAGAACACTTGATCTTATGATAATTAAGTCGTACTTTGCTTAAAAACTTACTTTTTGTGGTTATGATTATAATAATTTTGCCAAACTGAAATTTTGACAAAGTACTAGGTTCTTGTTTTTTCACATTCCTCATTGAAGGAGAGGTCTTCAAGTTCTACTCAAATGGAGAATGGAAGAAATCCTCTTGTGGGAAGTCAGTTGCTATCATCAACCCAACTTCAAGAATGGTTCAGTACAAAGTTCAAATCTGTACAAAAGAAGAGGTGAACAAGGTGATGGAAGATGCAAAAACTGCACAAACGTTGTGAGCAAAACCCCTACTCTGGATAAGAGCAGAGCTTTTTCAAAAGGCCGCTACCATTCTGAAATAAGCTCCTATAGTAGAGTGTCTTGTGAAGGAAATTGCAAACCCAGCCAATGATTCTGTAAATGAGCTTGTAAGGTCTGGAGATTTGATCTCTTATGTTGTTGTAGAAGGTGTTCGGATTTCGAGCGAGGCGAAGTTTCTGGTGTCAGATAGTTTCCCTGGATATGAGAGAATCAAATACTACCTTACTTCAAATGTTTCACTTGGTGTGGTTTTAGCCATTCTGCCATTTAATTATCCAGTCAATCTGTAATAAATAAACTTAAAAACCCCAATTGGATGATCACATTTTAACATTCAACCTGCTTTTATAAATCTAGACTAGAAGTAAATGTATTAACTACCAGTTAGGTAGGATTTCATATAGGAGTACAATACTTAAGTTCAGTGTTTAGTGAAAGTAACTCATGTACTGCCTCTCATCTATGGTTAAGTTCAATATTTATAATTGTTAACATCACTTTTCTTACCATTTTAAAATCCATATTAAATTTCACTAAATTCTCACTCTTACATTTGGTGTTGTAACACATTCAGTATTATTCTAATTCGTTACAATCGTTATAAAAATTAATGTCTACACAGAAGTTAAAATTGGGCATTATCTGCGTTAATATAACTAGTCAGAAAATAGGAGTTAATTAGTGAGATACGAGTACTAATTTATGCTACTACGTACATTGGAATCTTAAAAGCCTCACCCTGAAAAAGACAAATAGTTGGCTCAATTACGCTTTCCAGAAAAAGTAATGATCAATTCGCATCCCATAAGATTTATAGGAAGATAAAAGGTCAAGAAATTAAACATTATTATTATTATAAGCTTGTACGGCGTATATATAAGCCTCCGTGGAACAAAAGAATAACTTCAAAATACTCCGCAAACAGAAATGGCCACTTCCCCGCGCTCTCTTCTGCTCGTCCTTTTCCTCCTCCTTATCAATCCCACGCCTTCTTCTTCGCTTTTCCTCCCACTTTTTCAGTACGAAACCGCTATCTCCCTAACTCACACACTCTTCAACCGCGTCGCCGACCACCGCGCCGCACTCGGCGATGTTCTCGGCGCTGCCAGGGTACGGTCAATCGCCAAAATCATAAATCAAGCGCGTGGGATTGGTTTATGGAAGCTGATGTGGAATCACGGACGGTCCTTCGTCCGGAACTCCTTCAATTTCAACTTGCTGGTCAGAACTTTGGGAGAGTTAACTCGGGTCGGGTCGGAAGAGGATCAGGAAAAGTTAGCGAATCGGAATAACGGAAATGTCATTGAAATTGCTAATGATCTATCTGGTGGAATGCAGAAGGCGTTTAGTGAATCTGTAAGCATTTCTGCTGCTGAGCTTTTGTTAAGTTTTGCTTTCATTGTTGTGAAAAGTAATGTTCTGTTTGAAAATGGTGGAAATTTAGGGTGCTTTTGCGGAATTAATGGAGCTGGTCAGGAAGGAGGTTGTGGAGGGTGACTTGTTGAAAGACTGCCTGCGGGTTGGTGGAAGCGATTTGAAAGCATTGATCCAAAATTTGAAGAATATTTCTTTGCAATTAACTAATTCCTCTCCTTCCAACCAAACAGATATATGAATTAGCCTAATTTACTGCTTTCCTTCTGCGAATGAAAAACATTGCCTATCTCCCTACTTTATTGTTACGAGTGAACTTAGTGAGCAACGTGATATGCTCATTGGAGGCTTGGAGCACATTTATAAACTAGTAAATTGCTCGCGCTTTGCGTGAATGTAATGTGCCCAACTTTCAATGGTAATGAATTGTGTCAAATGTGTTCAAGATAAGTATTTATAGAATGTTTATTTTAAGGGGTACTTTGTACTCCGTATATTCTATTACATATATGAGTCTTCTTAAATAAAGAGATGTAGTTGAATCGGATGATGTCAAGATAAAATACTTGTAAGGAGGCACATCATCATTAAAAGAAACATGAGTTTTATGGAGCACTGAATTTTACGTTGTATTAACCATATTGGTAATGTTTTTTTTTAAAACACCATATTGGTAATGTTTTATTTATTGAATATATAAATTCGATGGAACCAAATGTCCCCATTTCAGTATTAATCAGTACATATGGTTTTTCTTGATTAGTGGCAGTAAAAAATGCAGCAGACCTATGAATTGAAGGCAATTGTAATGAAATAACCTTAGTGTCGTTTCATGTGAACTTGTGGAGATCATTTAATCACAATTGAAGTCTTAATTAATATAAAATATGCAAGGGGAATGCAGCAAAAAGTGTAGGGAAAACGTAGCAAAAATGTAAGAAAAACGCAGCAAAAAGGGCAGTAGAAAACCCAATAAAAACCACTACATTTGAAGGCAAGTGCAGTGATATAACCTTGACATATTATCAAACACCTAGGTGCTTTTAGAGTCTTTTGATATGAACATGTGTAGACCATTAATTTACAATTCAAATCTTGATTAATAGGACTATAGGAGTATAACATGTGGCGGAAAAATGCAGCTAAAAAGTGCAGGAAGTACAAAGCAGAAAGTGCAGTGAAAAAAACAGCAAAAACTCAAAATTTGAAGGCAAATGCAATGAAGTAACTTTGACATATTATCAAGCACCTAGTGTGCTTTTTGGTTTCTTACATATGAACTTGTGGAGACCTTAAGCGCAAGTGGAGTCTAAAATATTATAAAACATGAAGCAAAATAACGAAGCAAAAATACAGGCAACAAAACACATAAAAGCGGAGTTTTTTTTCGGGAGAAAGACCCAAGTAAGATTAAAACATAGCAAAGGAACGTAAATAGGACCCAATATTTTTTAATGGGATAAGGGTTAAATTGGACACTGGTTATATGAGAATCTCATATTAGACACTAAGGTTTCAAATGGACTAAATTGGACACTATAGTTACTTGTGTACTTCATATTGACACTAAAGTTTCAAATGGATCAAATTTTTCCTTTTTTTGATCATTTTCTAGCACCCACCAAAGATTTTCATCTTGAAAGCTCTAAGTATTCCCTTTTTCTTGGTTTTATGTACCTAAAAAATAAAAATAACTTAATTCGTGTACTTTAGATTTAGAATATATAATAGAAGTTCCAATTAAGAAAATCTATTATAATGTAATTGAATTCTTTAATTTTGTTAAATCAACTTAACAAATCGATATTTCTTAAAGTTCCATAAAAATCATATGAATGAAAAGTCCTAAATATATTTTTAAATTGTTAAATACTCCGTATAAGAAGTTATTAATTAAAATCAAAATATACTCCCTCAGTCCCATTTTATAAGATATCTTTTTTATTCACTTGGTCAACACAAATCACTCTTAATCGCTTACTTTATATATTAAAATTTTATGAAATTTGAAATATTTTTTCCAGGTTTTTTAGCGATTTTAATGTAGTTTCTGAATATGTAAATTTTTATTTTCTAAAACTAATTTGAGTATTGACAGGGATCAATTTGCTTTATCATCGGTCAAGCATCGTAAACCGTAAAATGCCCCTTATAATTCGGGACAGAGGGAGTATATTCTAAAACTTCAAATTAAATATTCCAAAATTATATACGTAATTAAATTAGTTTATTTTAACCAAAAAGGAAGGAAATATAAGACTAACGATTTTTATTAAAGGAAGAAGATCGAGAATCATAAGTGAGTGTCTAAAAACTATGAATTATGAAACTTCAGTGTTGAATATGAGATACATATGTAACCATAGTGTCAAATTTGGTTCATCTGAAACCTTAGTGTCCAATATAAGATTCTCATTAAACCATAGTGTCCAATTTGAGCCTTATCCCTTTTTTAATTCCGGTATAGGACCAATTTTATGTTAAAGGGCAAAACTACTCTTCCGTTATCCAATTAAGAAAGATCGAAGCTCTCCATACTTGGTGCTTCAGGCCAACCACGGAGAAGATAGATGCGCCAGAGGACATTGATCACCTTCGATTTCAATTGATTGCCTCTCTTCGTCGCAGGCTACAACTAAGTTCACCGCCATTCATCACCGTCACAGAGGTCGTCGCTCGTCGATACTCGTCATCGTTGGACCCCTAAACACACACAAAGGCCAAAAATTCAATTCCCAACAATCCCGCCCATGGAGAACTACTCCTACCCTTCCTATTCGGATTCCAGCGACTCCTCCCCTATTCCTCCTATTCTCGTGAAATCGAATTCAATATCCTCCGTGAGATGAAGTTCATGTGAAGCTATGGCGGTAGTATCCAAATTCAACTAGCTCACTGATTACTTTGACCGCAGCAAGCACCAAAATCCTCTCCGTCGAAGGTACATGCGGTTAAAATTCCACAATTCGTTTCATCTACGTTTTCAAAGGTTGAATATTCTAGTGGTGGGCACGTAGTCGATGCGGCTCATCTGATTGAGGATAATAAAGAGAAAGTAAATATTTTAATATGGTTCATCATTTACAAAAGGTTGAATATTCAACCATTGCATTGGTTGATTATGAATGTTACAAAGTCATTGTCAACGATTATGAAATAGACCACACCAGACGAACAAATTGTACAAATACCAAACGTTTACTATACTAAACAAGACTTAAATAGAGCACACTAGACGAACAAATTTCAGTATAAAAGAAAACATTCTTAGCTAATTTGTTAATCAAAATTCATGACGTTTGATCTGAAGAGTCCGGGTCTTTTATGCGGTAGTAACACCAAGCAAACATCGCGGCGAAGAAGCAAAGCATAATTCCAACAGCGATGAGAATTCGTAACACTACAGACAAACCTCCTCCGATGGCAAACAGGCTACACACCCCACAAATAAGAATGAGTAATAATATAAATATATAAACTCATACGGAGTATAATACTTCGTACTTAATTTGATCCTACGGGTATTAAGTATAGAATGCTTAACTAATTAATCATGTTATTTGTGTGTGTCATGCTTGCATACATGTATACGTTCAAAGCCCATTCCGTTGTTTAGGGGCGCAATCAAATTACTTTTATAAACGTAATTATTTCTAAAAATAATGGAAACGTGCTTGAGAATATAAAGTACATTAACTTGAACTATTGTTTATCAAATTTCCTATTGATGATAACACAATTTTTAGTTAATTAGCTTATAATTTAATTACATTTTTCACATCCATAACACAAATTGCTCTCCTTTTATATATATTTATATATTGTCGCCTCAATTTAATTTATAATCACCTAAATCTCCCATCCCTATTTGATTCCTTTTGTTTGATGGACCATTGGACATAATTCTAATGATTGAGAAATTAAATTTTCAATATTGTTTCGAGAACATGAAATTATATCAATCAATTAGTCGCTGACGCCGCCGAGATTAGTTAATGCGTTTATATTTGAAGAAAAAGATATTGAAATGTTGGTTTTAAAGATGACTCATTAGGGAGGTCGCCGACTCACTCTCCCTTATGGGAGGTCCCGGGTTCAATTCTCAATAGAATGAGATCGAACCCAATTTACCTCACCCCCCCCCCCCCCCAAATCCCCCTCCCCTGACGCCCCCTGGGGTAAAAACATCAAAAACAAAATCAAAGATGCCTCACAAAAAATCATTTGGTTTGATTTTTTATTTTTGTAAATATCAAAGAACAAATGAAAATACCATAACAATTTATTATACAAAATAATTACCTATAAGACGTATGTATATGTATGTATGTATGTATGTATGTATGTATGTATATGTATATGTATATGTAGGCTATGTTTGGCGGGCATAAGTCTCTGCCTTCTAGGTTTTATACTGTTCAAAAAGTCTCTAAAAACTTCTAATTGTATGTTTGGCATGACAATTTTTAAGAGCTTTTCAAAAATCAAAAGATCTTTTTTGAGATGCTACAGTGAGTAGTATCTGAGAAAAGCTCGTGACTTTTATTATTAATTAGTCCTAACAACTTGTATCCCAAAAAGAACTAAATCAATAGACAACTTTTTACTGAAAATCTACCACCTAACTCGTGACTTTTATTATTAATTAGTCCTTATAGCTTGTATCCCAAAAACACACACCCCAACACCATCTAGCATCATTATTCTTCATTTTTGAGCTACTCAATTCTTCTTTCATCCTGAATTGCGATTATTCTTAATAAAATTATTGTCCATTCATATTTGCTAGATTCCCATTTAATTCATATTTAGTTCAGCATATTTTGACTAAAACATCAACCATAAATTTTTTACTTTTCTTCTTTCCATTGTGACGGAGGTAACATATAATTCAAGGTGGGTGATGTGCTCATGTGCCACCTGGCCCACCTTCCCTCCATTGTTTCGATATGGCATCTCATTTTCGTTTTTTTCTTTAAATTGTTAAACTTTTTTTATTTATTATCCAATTTTTATAAAAACATCAAATTTAATAGTTTTAAGATCTTTTCAATAGTATCAATATTGTACATAAAACAAGATGAAAAAAAAGCAGCTTTTTTTAATACTACGTATTCATTTATAGCTAGATATTGGAATCATAGGAAAGATTGCAAAAAATGAATAATTTTGATATATCATAGATGACTATCATTTCTTTTTCACAAACTGGGCCTGAGATATATACAAACATATATATATATACACTACTGCCACCGGAGAATGAGGGTGGGGACACCGGCTCCCCCTAATTCTGCCAGTGTTTACGAGATTAAATAAAGCACGATAACATGAGAAAATAAGATTTGATCTTATAACCGGTCGAGTATATTGACATACTCGGTCGAGTATATTGACTAACCTGTTGGGTATGACTAGATTTTAGCACTTTCATAGCTACTACCATGAATGCGTGGTCAGGTGTCCTAGATACCCAATCGAGTATCCGACC